ACTAAAGCATTTAGAGCACATCTGACATGGGGTAAAAAAGTTCACTAGGCCAAGTTCTATCAGCCCTGACATTTTCTGATGAATTTAACAACCCATTGTTGGGTTGCTGCCACTAAATTGGTAATTTTAAGGAAATTTTGCAGTTTTTGGTTATATATATCTTGAATATTATTATAGATAAAGATAAACTGTAAACAGCAAAAATGTTCAGTAAAATAAGATCTACAAATAAGTTTTATGACCAAAATTGTCAATTGATCCCTTGAGGATTTATTGCCCTTTTAAGGACAATTTTACACAATTTGTCAATCATGTTTTCTAACTTTAAAACATTTTCTCATCTGAAACTACAGAACCAAATTAAACCAAACTCAAGCTGAATGATTCTTAGGTTATCTAGAATAAAGTTTGTGTTTTATTTTCTGTTTCCTCAGAAAACATGGCCGCCATGGCTAAAAATAGAACATAGGGTAAAATGCAGTTTTAACTTATATCTCAAAAACTAAAGCATTTAAAGCAAATCAGACAAGAAGTTAAAGTATTCATTAGGTCAAGGTCTTCCTGCCCTGAAATTATCAGCCAAATCGGGTATCCGATTTTTAGGTTATTGCCACTGAATTGATGATTTTAAGGAAATTTTGCAGTTTTCGGTTATTATCTTGAATATTATTATAGATAAAGATAAACTCTTAACAGCAAAAAAGTTCAGCATAGTAAGATCTACAAATAAGTTTTATATAACCAAAATTGTCAATTGACCACTTAAGGAGCTATTGTCCTTTAAAGACAATTTTTCACAATTTGTTCATCTACTTTGCTTACTTTAAAAAAAATCTCCTTTGAAACAGCTGAATCAATTTCAGCCAATCTTGGGCTGAATGAGTTTCAGAGTATCTAGTATAAATTTTGTATTTTATTTGCTTGTACGTCAAGAAACATAGCCACTATGCTTTTGAAGAAAATATGACAGATACAAAGAACATTTAAATGGCATTTTTAAGCCATTCATTAATATATATTATGAAAAGCAAAAATTGATGAAAGATTTAAGCAAAAAATTACAGGTGAGCGATTCAGGCTCTTCAGAGCCTCTTGTTTTGATTTTGGTTCATTTATATGTTTCGGAGTTTAGTGTGACGTCTATTTTCTCTGAAATAGTACACATTTTTGTTTAGGGGCCAGCAGAAGCCCGCCTCCGGGTGCGGGATGTTCTCGCTGGGTTAAGGACCCATTTGTGGACTTAGGCTGTTTTCTGCTCTTTGGTCGGGTTGTTGTCTCTTTGACACATTCCCCGTTTTCATTCTCAATTTTATTCAATCAGTGTTAATTTCATATAAAAGGGTTTTAATATAACAGTCCGGTTTGAATATTAAATGGACGCAATAATGATTTGGTGTACCATTATTGAATATCTGTGTCTTTGTTAACAAGGACTTATGTTTCATTTCTGGTGGTCACAAGTCGGTCTTCCTTTCTTCGATTATTACATCACTATATGCGACTTCTCATTAGACTAATATAACGTATTTGTGAAAAATGGAGCAACAAAAAGGTTGTTTGATTGCCGTTGTGATACAATGTAAACACATTCACCAGCACAAAATCAGGACCCGCCAGCGCCTGTCAGAACCAGCGCAAAACATTTCTAGCAGGACAACCTTACCCACCGTGAATTAAGTACTTTATCAGTTGTATACAGTTTATTCATGCGTTATTATACAAAGGTCAGATTAATTGAAAGTTAAATCAATAGATAGTAGAAAAGTCAAGGATCGACATTAAATGCAAGTATGTACTTCAAATTTACACTTCAAAATAATCCTCTCACCTACAAACTACTAACCAGTGCCCATTCCATACTTACTTTGTAATAATAAGGTGATACTACTTACCTGATTACTCATATTTACATTGAACGTAACAATAATTTCAAATTCAGGTGAACATGAAAACAACTTATGGCCTTACAATAGCATTGAAAATTTGATTCATGTCTTCATATATTAAAATTGTATCAATCCAAACAAATTTTTCACGAGAAAAAACACTTAAAGACCCGGATAGATAACAATGGTATAAGTTATGCTTTTCCTTTTCAAGATATGTTGATTAAATGATAAAACCGTAACATGTTCTAAAGCTGTAGTAAGTTCCTCTTGATATGTAAAACAAATTAAGTGTTCTCACGGTCAGGACGATTTTGATTCTCGTATTTGCAAAATAAATAAACTATTTAAATATAAAAGTTGGTTTTCTTAAATTGAAATGAATCCTTCCAAATTTATTTTTCAAACTTCCATAGGAAAGAGAATTTGGCAAGACAAATGTGAACACGGTAAGGTCATGTTGTTTTTTTACCAAAAAAGTATGAATTTGTACTTTTCCCTATATTTCTTTTCAGTCTTTATTGTATATTAGAAATTGAAATGTCAAAAAGCATGCAGTATCAGTCAGTGTTACATGTATTTACTTGGATAATGATCTACCTCCCATGTATAGGAACATGTTTTTACATATTTGTTATCTATAATGAGAAAACTCGCGTCTTTCCGCATATGATATAAAAAGCAGAGAATAAACCTCAAATTGACATACGTTTTGCTTGGATACTTGCCTACTCTCCACGGTTCATCTCTGCAAATATGAACAGAAAACATAAAGGTCAATGAAGCATGAGATTGGTTATTTTGACCTACTTATTCCTGAACCTAGTTGACTTTTTTCATATAGTGTCAATACATCTTTGTTAATTATGCTACTTTATATCGTATGTTGTTTTTTTTTTTCAATATTGGAACACTATCCCCGCTTTAAGCAAGGGATTTACTCGGGTGCTGTGAGAACAGATAAAAGAGAGGTGGAAGATATCTTAACTCATATATCGATGTCAAAATTACAACGCCATGTCAAAAAAACGAAACCACAACCAAAAGAAAACAACAGTATGACAAACACAGTATATAAAACTAAAGACTGAGCAACACGAACCCCACCAAAAACCGTACGTATTGCGCTTGTCCTTATCATCCATGTACCATACTGCTTATAAACGTTGAACAATCGTCAATAAATCAGTCAATTACAAGGATAACGTTTAAAACTAATCTTGAATTACAATCTCTACTGGACTACAATTTTAGCCACCACGTTTATGAAAAGTATTATCAAGATATCATTTTAAAGTGGTTCATTTATTCTAACATGTCTAAGAACAGTTGTTATGAGAACATTTGAAAAAATATTTTATTGTTTAATTGACAAGTTGATGTATTCGGACTCATGCTTTTTTGAATGAAATGATGACTGATGAGAACCATTATCTTTTGCAATGAGATTCTTCACATTACCATTCAACTTCCCATTGTCTTGACCTTCATTTGCATAAAAATGTGTTCGTACGTTATCTGATGACGAATCTTGTTCTATGATTTCAACAAAATGTTCACATGCAGCGTTCCTAGAAGGAAGTATATTTTCAATAGTGGAGTTCTGTTTTGAAACATGATAAACATGTTTGTCTTCATCGCCATTATTTGCCACCAGAGTTGTGTATGGATGTTCATATCCGTTGTTCAAATGTTCTGTTGTATCGCTGTAACTGTTCGATAAGGATGAATTCTGTTCTTCCGATATCTGGGCAATATCTATATTTTCTGCATCTATGTCGTCTGTTTCAATATTCAGGCTATTATTTTCTGAAATAAATTTCAAAATATAATGATATAAACAATCAACCAACGCATCATTTATAATACATTTTTTTCTAAAAGTTTATTTCTTAACAAAGAGAGATAAGTCAATATAACAAAACTTTAACCCGATATGTACAATGTATAAAAACTACATTAAGATAAATATGAAAACAAACTGATTGAGTACAATTGTTGCTATAATTACCATCATCAGGTACGATTGCAATTTAAAGCTTTACAAGAAGGTCTAGATCTTCGCTCGTGACGTGAGTATATATGCAATTGTATAGTATATGAACTCAAGTCTTAAATATGACAAAGAGAAGGGTTTTTTGTTTTTAATAATAATCATTTTTAAAGTACTTAGAATTACAAGAAACATATTTTTCAATGACGTGTACACAACTGTTACTGTGTCTTTTCTCTTTTAGATGTAATGGTTTTCTGATGTCATACATTTACCTTGAGATGTGTTCAACACGTTATTATCTTCTATAATGTCTATATAGTGAGCACTGTCAGCGCTAATGTCTTCGTCTGCTTGAATATTTATGGTATCTATGAACCTAAAATTATGAATGTCTGAATGAAATTCATATTAAAGTTTATTAAATTATGTATTTGATCTCTATTTTTTATACTTTTTTTTCAAATTACGATAACAAAGGATATTTAACAGCGTCAGATCTATAGATGCATTCGTACGATCCTTACATCTTTATTACAACGCGTTCATTTTACTCGACATATTTTTTTTATGTACTTTGTGTTTATTTTGTTTAAGGGGATTATGTTGCTGTACTTCTTTCTTTGGCTTAATCGTTGCAAGAGCGTCATTTACTATAGAATATTTACAATAAAAAGAGATACTTAAAAAGATTCTCCTTCTGTTGACCTGATGAAATTGTTTGTTTTCATGTTTAAAACTGAAAGCTATAACGTTCTGTTTACATAAGACATGGATGACTTTGTGGTTTTTCTCAAGTACAATGTTTACAGGTTTAAAAATACAACCAAGCAATTTAATCCTACAATCACACAATACAAGACTTTCTGTCTTTAAAATAATTAAGAAATCACAGGTACAATTTCATTGAAGGCTACAAATGTATGCATTATTTTGTGCTATATAATAAAGGCAACAGTAGTATACCACTGTTCGAAAGTCATAAATCGATTGAGAGAAAACAAATCCGGGTTACAAACTAAAACCGAGGGTTACTATACCAGCACAGGAATATTAAGATTGAACAACCAAATGTATTTATATCTGTTTTGTTATATAACAACATGCACGAAGTTTACTCGCCTCTTTCTGTATCTCCGTTTAAGGTACACTGTAATTAAAAATGACACAAACTATACATTATTAGTTAGTAGTAGTTTTTCATACTAGAAAATAAGTTCTGAACTAAATTTCCTAACTTTTAAAACATTTCCGAAAGTCTTTTCAAATACTAAGACAATAGTTTAAAGAAATATGTAGGTGCACTACTTGTGAAAACGGATTTGTATTCTATTAATACTTTATGTTACGAATCAATTTCCCACAAAGACGTTTGTGAATGAGATAAGTTTCTAATTTTTAGTCGTATGATAACTATATATACGGTTTCTAGACTTTCTACGAAAATATGAAAATAAAAATTTCTAATGAACATAATGAATTGTCCTAATTTGACTTTTTTTGTTTGTCTAGTGAGTACTTACATACATATGTTCCCGTTACTACCAGAATGACAACAATAAGCACGAGTAATACTATAATGACAACGTCTTTTGAAGATACTGTGTTTTCTTCTGAAGAGAAGTTGGCTGAAAAGCAAAGAAGTCATTAATTTTAACAAAAATCAACATAAAACTGTTCTAAATAAATTTAAGAGGAAAAATTAATATATGTTAAATTTGTTATTTTATAAATTGCAAGTCCTTTGCTCATATTTATTCTTACGAACCACTACGTGTAAAATGACCATTTAATACTAAAGATAACATTAAAGACATGTGTATGACGTCATAGTCACATCACATATGACTTGTTACACTACTATATCAACCTGTTCATTTACCAATAGAATACACATAATTTACTAAGGCGTAACAACTTTTACCTGTTTTGCGATTAAGGGACCAACATAATAAAAGCTTGTTATCGGCTCTAACAATAAATAAAGATAAAAAAAATTCAATTAAAGGCAGATCGGGTCTAAATTAAAATCTGTAGAATTTTTTACTAATTTGCCAAAATATATTTTATATTTTTTTTTAATCGTTATTATGAGGCAAACGTATAATGGTTTAGAAATGATAATGTAACACGATTTAAATTGGGGTTTCTCCTTATAACGAAATAGATACCAAATCAGATGCAATATAAGTCAAAATCAATCAAAAGTTTGTTTAGTCAGTTCAATTCCATCGCAAAGTATAAATAATGTCGAAAGTGCAGACTTTTCTATTACATGTAAGCGATAAGTCATACGTTGCAAATATACACAAACCTATTTTCAATAAAAACATTTTCTATTATACGTTCAGTATTATAGAAAACGCTAATGGAGTTAGTTCGAGAAGGTACTAAAATGGTCCCCATTCCTTGCTAAAATTTCAAATTAGAATTATCTGAAAATTGTTTTCAATGAATCATAGTTAAAGCAAGGATTTGGTAGGGAATGTATTTTTTGTGTCAAATGTACAAATAAGCGTTCGTTTCATGACGTAACAAATAGCTCAAATTTTGGTTTTCATTGAAATTTTTAAAAAAGTACATCTCAATGGATTTGTTGGACTTGAAACACAGAAAGCATGCGTTCACAAGGTAACATTCTAGCAAAATGTTGTTATTTCAATTTATGTTTCTTATTTGAATATTTAGTTTGTTGAAACCTGTGTTCTATTTTTCTTAGGTCTAAAATTGATAGAACTCCAGATGACTTTGTCAAATTTCATTAAAATCTCTACTTTAAGTCTACTTGTGTTAACTGGAAAACCTTAATTAAAATAGTTCTATTTCACTATTTTACCGGTGTTTTTTTAGAAACTTGAAACTTTTTTTATCCGCATACATTGAGTTTAATATTCGGGGCCAAGTATTGCCCTGATCAAAGTTACTCCTTTAAACAATTGTTGCAATTTATTATAGAGTTATTTTATCATTTGAATGATGAAACAGTGCTAAACCAAAATCAAACTTAAGTAATATATCAAGAGTTATGTTTGCAGTGACCTTCTGGTCTTCTTGTTCAGCTTTGCATGTATATATCCCGCTATCATTGCGACTGATCTTCACAAAATAAAGGCAAGCTGTACTCGGATTCGAACGATCCTGTCGACCAACTTTTGTGTTAAACCACCCAATAGTTTCATTAGGCAAACGGTTGTTAGAGAGACAACACAAACGAAGTGAACTTCCTTCGTGAATGGGCATTGGTGGTTCAAATGTGATAATCAAGTCTGGTATATATGCAAAAAATAAGTATACGAAATACAAGATATGTGATGTGTGAGCGATATAATATATATGTGTTGCAACTCTTAAGCAACATTGTTTCGCAGTCGTAGATTTTAAGATATGAATTTGATCGTCTGATCTATAAATTATCCGATGGTTCCTATTTCCGATTTTGAAATTCTCATGGAGTGATGATTAGCATCCCGGGTGATGAATTCGTAGCAGGCGACGCGCTCCATGTCGACGATCCCAGACTCACTCCTTTAAGACTTCTAATGATTACCTCAGCCTTTGTATTTAATCTTGATTGTCTTCTAAATTAATTGATGGGATTTTAAGATCGATAATAATTAATATTAAATTTAATATAATGACAAATTCAAAACTGGGATAAAAGTTACAGTAGCTTACTTAATAAAAAAAAACTAATACGTAAACTAAGGGTGTTCATACTGATTGTTGCAGCCTCATCTTTTTCCTAATTTCAAGCAATATTCGATATTTTAGAATGTAAAATAATCGCTTTGACACGTGATTGAATAGCTCATATTTAAATGCATAAAATGTTTCAATGTCTAATTTCCTGATATTATAGATGCAATCTAATTTAAAAAAAAAACACCTTGTTCGTATCAGCTGATGAATCTTAGTATTAGCATGCAACCAACAATCCGATAAAATACGGTCTTTGAATTAACGTTCCTTGTGTATTAAGTTTAAGCGTCTGGCTCAGTTTTATATTCAGAAATTTGAATTAAATTAAATTCGGCAACCCGATGTATCTTTATAACATGACTGTATCCTGTCTTAAAATATATCCGTAATTGCAGACGATTTTGTCAAATAACATCAGAATATTTACTTTTCACCTACTTTGGTAATACCGGTTGATCCTTTATTGAACAACAAAAAAATGCTTTCTTACGTTTGTTTTCATATCTCCAAACAATAGACTTTATATTCGTAGCAAATATGGCCTTTAAAGATATTACTTCTTTAAACAATTGTTGCAAAATATTAAAATTGAGATATTTGATCTTTTAAATGATGAATGATGAAACAATTACAAAAACAAAATTCACACTTACGTAATACATCAAGAGTAATGTTGGCAGTGACTTTCTGTTCTTCGTGTTCAGCTTTGCATGTATAGATTCCACTATCATTGCGGCTGATCTTTAAAAAATGAACGCAAGCTGTACTAGGATTCGGACGATCTTGTCGATCAACTTTTGTGTTAAGCCACCAAATATTTTCATTCGGAAAACGATTGTTAGAGAGGCAACACAAACGCAGTGAACTTCCTTCATAAATGGGCATTTGTGGTTCAGATGTGATTAACAAGTCTGGTATATCTGCAAAAAAATAGATATACAAAATATAGAAAAGGTGATTTGTGAGCGAAACAGGGGAGCAGTAGCAAAATTGTTTCGCAGTCAAAGATTTTAGTATACGAACAAAGTACTCTAATCTACAACATTATCAATTGCTTTCTATTTCCGATTGTGAAAAAGAGGATTGGCATCAAGGGTGCTGGATTCAAAGCTGGTAGACGTGTTTCTTGTCGAAACTACTAGAATGGCTCCTTTTGTGGTTCTTACGATTTCCTCAGCTTTTGTATTTCATCTGGTTTTTCTTGTAAATAGATTAATGATAATGAGATGTTAAGATCGGTAATAAAAGAGAGGCGAAAGATACCAGAGGGACATTCAAACTCATAGATCGAAAAAAAACTGACAACGCCATGACTTAAAAAAAGAAAGAACAAACAGACAAATAATAGTACAGATGACACAACATAGAAAACTAAAGACTAAGCAACACGAACCCCACCAAAACCTGGGGGTGATCTCATGTGCTCCAGAGGGTAAGCAGATCTTGCTCCACATGTGGCACCCGTCGTGTTGCTCATGTTATTACAAACCCGGTAAATAGTCTAATTCGGGAGGTCACATTCAAGGAAAGGGAACGGGATTGTAGTTACGACATAAGGAACATATCCGATATTATCTGTGAAACGGATATTCCGTAACGGTCAACTAACTCGTGGTGGCGTCCGTACAATTTACGCAGGAATGATTTCAACCTCACCATTTGGAACTCTTGGTTAAATAGCTTCCTTGTAAGCAGCAACCCTCTATCTATGAAATCATGATAGGAAATATAAACCCGGGAATATCGTATCAATTGGGAGATATATATTCCGTAATAACTGTTGCTTAGATTTAGCATAATAACATCAAAACTCATGTAAAAGTTAAAGTCACTTACAAAATAAAAAACACAAATATACAAAATCAGGACTAATATAGAAATTGTTGCTCCCTTTGCTTTTTACCCAATTTCAAGGAGTATTTGATGTTTTAGAATGCCAAACACGCTTTAACATATGATTGTACAGCACATATCTGAAGAAATAAAATACTTGAATGTTTTTTGTTTTTTTTTCTTCATATATTGATAGCTGAATAAATGTAATTCAAGTTAAACAAACGCCTGATTCTTACCTGTTTATACATCTTAGTAATAGCATACAACCACCAATCTGACAAGGTACGGCCATTAAATTAGCATTTTTGTGTGTTGATTTCCGGTATCTCGTTTAGTGTTATAGTTTAGAAATAAGTCTAGGGGGGGGGGGCTTGAATGTATCGTGATTTTACCACGGGTTGGCCCTGTATGCCGAATATTTTACCTCGAGCGATAGCGACAATAGGACAATTACGGTATCGGTTTTGAATCGAAGCGTTCTAGGTCAAGGCAAACACTGGTTGTTCCTGTAATTGAACACACTACGAGTGTTGACATTAAAGATGTGAAAACTGAATAAGTGTTTATCTTAAGCGAATTTTCAATTACAGGCGGTTATGATGCATTTTGAATGTTGAAATGTAATTAATGTGTGTGTATCTGTCAGAAAAGATTGAAGTGATCTTTGACTTTGATTTATAATTCAAATAATCACATTCGAAAATGGCGCTGTCAATGAGGTAGGTTTAATGTGTATCGCCGATGTGTAAAGTGTGGTTTCCAGTTACGTGTCACAAATTATGCATCTTTAACTGTCTTATTTTTCAACAAAAGTACAGTGAAGTCGTTCCTATTTGTGATTTGAGTGACATTACATGGTCAGACCAAATCCTTGTCGCATTGTTCATTGTTTATTTTGATGTACACAAAATGTAAATCGAGTAGAAACGGAATGCAACATAAGAGTGGATCACACTTTATAATATTTTCCTAACTTTATGACAAAAGAGGGACGAAAGATACCAGAGGGACAGTCAAATTCATAGATCGAAAACAAACTGACAACGCCATAGCCAAAAAAAAAAAGACAAACAGACAAATAATAGTACAGATGACACAACAAAGAAAACTAAAGACTAAGCAACACGAACCCCACCATAAACTGGGGGTGACAACATAGACTATAGAGATATTATAACAGAAGATAACTTGTGAGTCACTGATAGCAAGTTGAAACTTTACATAACATGATTAACGTCACAGTACCCAAATTGCACCAAGTACCCAACAGAAATAGCTGCGGAAATCTTAATTTTCTTTGAGACTAAACAATTTGTATTTTTATGATTTGACATGATACACGTCTTTCGTCATAGCTGAATATATTTAAATATCCACAAAACGTTCACAGTCAATATCAATATATGAAGCGTTCACTTGAAAAGGTAAATCTACGGAAACGTCACCATGCGACGTTCTCAAAAAGTCATCTTTTAAAAATGAGCAAATCAAATATGTTACAAGCATCAATTTCTTAAAAAATGAATAGAAAGCATGGACTAATGTCAAGTTGTTCTAGATATTTGAAAAAATGGAACAAAACATCTGTTATTCAAATTTTAAAGATGCGAATTTAAGCATGGATACAATTTTTCTATGATTCAATATGGATTCAAAATAAAATTGATGTAACTATAAAGTGAATAAGGATACATCTACAAAATAAACACAGAATGGAACCTTTCCGCGGAGCACCTGAGATCACCCCCAGTTTTGGTGGGGTTCGTGTTGCTTAGTCTTTAGTTTTCTATGTTGTGTCATCTGTACTATTATTTGTCTGTTTGTCTTTTTATTTTTGGCCATGGCGTTGTCAGTTTGTTTTTGATCTATGAGTTTGACTGTCCCTCTGGTATCTTTCGTCCCTCTTCTTTGTCAGGATCATAAAAAAACGTAGGCGAAAAAACTGTCAAATAGGTGCAATTTGGGTACCCTAACGTTACAGTGAATGGTTTTCATCTTTCTGCACAATGTTAAATGTGAAAGTACCACCAGTGATTGAGGCATTGTTCGTAATATTGAGTGCGGAATTAGACATCTGCTCCTTGGACATTCTGACTTCAATATCCCGACCTGTGTCTGAAGAGGAACATACAGAGTTGGAGGTGAGTACTGTACTGAAGCTGAAGGGATAGTTCCTGCTTGTAAAGCTGAAGATAGTGTCCTTCTCTCACTAGCTGTTGGCTCATTTATGTAGCTTTCTAGACTTTAAACATTGCGATGTCGGGTAACTGACATAATTTCAGAATATCTACCCCTTGTCTATTCAAAACTGTTGCCACAGTGGCCCTAATGCAGTGGTTTGCAGTTCTTGAAATCCTAGACATCCAGGATGCTAGCTTTTTTTTCCCAATCGGCTGGGCTGCATACCAGCAATCTGACTTGGGGTTCATCAGCGACTGCTGGAAAAAGGCAAAGCATTTTGGACTCAGTTTACTAAGGTAAAGATCCAAGCTTTTCTCTGGGTAATTAACATCATCTGGACGCTCATACATGCGTGTTTCTTTAATGTTTTCTTTACCATCCACCCCATGGTGGGTTTTATTACACTCATTGTATGGCATTGTATAGTATTTAATACCTTTATCATCAGCATGATCAGTTTGTTTATGGTTAGAATTTGACCTCAGTTCAGGTAAACCCTCTTGACCGCGACGTCCGAAGTAAAGCATAACATCCCAGAACACTTTGTTTTGCAATGTGTCTGGTGAATCCACATTGAACACTCCACTTTTCTATATCCCCTTGTGAAATAGCTTTTTTTATGAACAGTGGTATATCTGCCATCACGTTTTAGGAGTTTAATTAAACCTAACAGCACATGGTTGGATGTCATAAAGGCCCGATCTGTCATAATTTTGAATTCTCTGTTGTACGGTGAAAAATTAAGATGCTTGATATTGCAGCCCTGATTCCAATAAGAGCGGACTTGGAATATGCCGTGCCTTGGTTGGTTCTAAGACTTCTATAAAAAAAAACTTAGGCGATCATTTAGCGTTGACTCATCTAATTTTTCAAATTCTATGTTGTGTTCATTCTCCTGTAACCAACCTGAAAATTACAATTGCCCTTTGAGTATTATCTTTTTTACTGTAAAATATCAGCATAATTTATAAATGGTCAACCTGTTGTAAAATCGAAATAAATTCATGCCATTGTGAATGTTAATAAAATTTACTGTATTTGTATATGTTATACTTGAACATGTTGTATATATATAGATTTAAAGTGAAGGGTAAAATACCAGCATAAATGGTTAACTTGTGCAATGCCATGGTAAAATCAAAAGAAATTGTTCTCCTAAGAATGTAAAAATAAACGAAAACTATTATGTGTATGTGTGCATGTATATATATTTTCAGGGGTAAAATATCAGCATTATTGGTCGACCTGTTTAATGCCGTGGTAAAATTTATATAAATTCATGCCCCTATGAATGTTATTTTTTAACTGTATTTGTATACATTGTATGTATACATGTAGTGATAGGTAAAATATCAGCATAATTGGTCAAACCGTGGTAAAATCAATATAAATTCATACCCCTCTTTTTTTATATATATATTTGTATATATATTTATATATATACATGTCTTATGATTGGTGCTGTAGTGTATCAAAGGTGTGAGTTCGAAACCCGATGAGTGACAAAAATTAGTCAGCATAAAAATCTAATTCTAACACTGTTGGGTGTAGTTTTCAGACTTATATATAATTCGTCTAAATATCAGCCCAAAAATGTTAGATCTGTAAATTTGCAGATGCAAATTTTTTGTTCTTCCCTGGCTGGGATTCGAACTCATGCTACTGAGATATCGTGGTACCAAATCGCCTTGCACTATGCCCGACGCGCTAGACCACTCGACCACCTAGGCTCTACAATAATAAAGCTTTCGGTGGCAGGGTGTTACCTTTCCTCGTCAGTTTTATCTAGCGTCGTAACACAGTACATTATATATAAGGCATGAAGATCGAATTTTACAGATCAGCTAAATTATCTATCGTAGAGGAACCTAAAAATTAATGTAGGATGCAGTCACAGAAATAA